TATACACCGTATAGTTTTAGTTTTAGTTTAGTTTTAGTTATTTTTCTGAATAAACAAATTTGTTTCTTTTTAAATGTGATTGTTCTCATTACATATTAAAAAATCAATAATACATTCGCGTAAAGTGAATATTGCAATTAATTTAAACAAAACGTGACAAATTTTCCATCAATTTATTTTTCCATTGAGTCATTGTTTAACAACTTCGACTTAGATTGAATTATAATTGGCTGCAATTTACTGCAATCTATAACTGCAATGTACGCAGTACGTTATGGTTACATAGTGAGGAATGCTTCAATTGTAAATTTTGCGAATACAACGAATTCTATTGCATTTAAAGTTCCTAGTGACCACCACCACATTACAATGTACACGTCGAGGCATTTCTAAAATTTTGAGTTTGTCTTTGTCATGTCACTGATGCGGTATTGATGATACGTGCTTCTCAACCACTCGTCAATTTATTGATTTTCAATTGTTATCACATTGTTCAATGTCAGTCAATTTAGTATCTCGAAGCGTCCTTGCACATTTGCTTGCTTAAGGCAGCAGTACAATATGTTGGTTTATACCCAAATCCTGCAGATAAAAATACATTCGTATTTTTAAATGTATTTTTCTTTTTACTCAATTGTCTATTGTTGACATCTGTGCTGTGCAATGGCATCACAAAGACATACTTGTCCCACAATTGTCATAATAACACTTTCTAAGCATACAACTACATGCATAAATATATGCAGCATATCTATTGAAAACACTGTTTACGTTTCACTGCACTTGTTGTTTGATCCTTACTGTAATCCTCCAATGCCTCGAAGGTTTTATGTTTGACCATTCACTGATGTACGTGTACATGCACAGAGTGCAGCTCATTGGGAACATCACAATTTGATAAATTGAATCAATTTGAATTTGTAAAGCTATTCACAGCGTTTACATTGTGTGCTCATCGCTTGAACTCCTGCAATGTGCCAATTACTATTTTCATTCTATTTGACACTGTCATTGCTTTATAGATGGATCTTTCATTATATCTAGTAAGTAAGCTGCAGTTACTGAAGCCAAAATGTTGAATTGCAGTTACTTCACTTTATTGTTATGCAAATAGACTTTGATCACTGTAATATGTCTTTAATATATCATTTAGTTAATAACTGATTTTATTTCTCGGAAATGTAACATATGAGTTATATATTTCTTATATTAGATTTCAGTCTCTGTAAATTAAAATTAAAGGGAATAGTTAGAATTTTAAAAGTTGAAGTTGAATATAACTTTAATGAACTAAATTGCAAAGTATCATCAAAGCATCCTAATAAAACTATTTATAAAGAAATGTCGAGAAATTGTAGAGAAATCTAGAGAAATTATTTATGGATCAAAATATCGAAAATGTTACAGTTTACGAAGTCTTATATGATTTTTATTACTAAATCTAATTAATTTAAATTGCAAACCAAAAAATTTACTTCACAGATGCATGGAAGTACTACTCAGTTAAACTTTCATATGTGAGCTAACTGAATAAAGTCAAATTATCAGTTAACAGCACCAAATATCTCTAATTTGGCAGCAAACAATGATGCCAGCATTGCCTTGTGCGAAACACCATTTACGAAAAATTTTAAATCCATATTAAAATTTTTTTTAATATATATAAATAATAATTAGAGCAGACTTTAATTTTTTTGTTCACGCTTTTAAAGTTGAAAGACTTTTGAATGACAAAAATAAAAATAGTTAATATTCTGTATTTAATTTTATTTAAATATCTTATATAAAAACTTAGAAAACTCATATCCGAAATAATAGGGGAGTATACATCCGACGTTGAATGTATACTGATTACACAATCTTTATACAAATCAGCGTAACTCCTGTGGTACCACAATGGGCTATTATTTGTGCTTAAGTGGACTTTTTGGGATACAAGGCCGCCACTTCAACCAACCAACCATATTCGAATGTTTTGTTCATGTGTCTGAATCAACAGTTCATGTAGCTACTACATCCAAATCAAATCTAATACAAATAAAGTTAAGCACAGTTTTTCATATGATAAGTGCATACATTCCGCATCTAATTTTATTTTAATATCTTTAACAAAAATGTAGAAACCCTATAATTGATTGTTCAGTTTATGTGATAGCGATGGGATATAGAGTTTCAATATCAGCCAATTCGACAAGTAGTCAAGATCCACTTCTGAAAAGTATATGTGCAAAGTTTGATTCGTAGTAGTTCAGTTTAAAAACTGAATGACTGGTTGTAACTAAAACGAATACACAGAGGGACGGGCAGATAGAGTTATATAAACTCAACTCGTCAAACTGATTAGGAATATATATACTTTATGGGTTAGCAACGTTTTTTTGAAAGTGTTACATAAATCATGATAAAACTGTTTTTGATTTATTTTATGTGAAAATCTAAAAAATGAAAACGAGAAACGAGAAGATTATGAACAAATTTAAAAGTGCTAGCTAACTGTACTAAAAACATATTATAACAAAAAGAGAAACTACTCAACAATTTTAAGTTTGAAAAATATATGGAAGAATAATCATATATACATGTCGCCATTTGTTATAAATTTTGTCATCATGTATTTTGTATTTTTAAATATTTTATGTGAAGAAAAAATAAAAAGCCTTTCTAAAACTTTATTCAAAATGCAATTCAGTTAAAGTTGGATGAGCACAAAAACTTTGAATTAAACTTATCAATTTAAATTGTACTATTTCTACTCGTTTGATACAATGTTATAAGTTAAATTTTTAACATATAAACTTTCATTTGGAATCCTCCACTAATTTAGTTAAAAAACAACAACCCATCCAGTGCTTTATTTAGCATGATGCCTTCTATTTCAATATACTCATGTACGCATTTTAATTAAATTTCTTCTTGTGTCAAGGATACATCCTTTCGCATAAATGTTTAACGAATATGAAACTGAGCCGAAAGTTTCGTTAATGCCATGCATATATGCATAAGCTCAAGCACAAAACTACTAACGTCTTTTAATAATCTAAAACGAGAAAAAAATTAACAGAATCTGCAATGATCTTTTATAAATAGTTAATAAATTGTTAAACATTTGTTAAACATAACCCAAAACACAGAATATTAAAATATTTCCAACAACTCCACAAACAAATGCTGGCGTTGATATAACATATGACGAAGCAGACAGGCATTCAAACGCAAAGCTGCTCATAAATATTTTGTGTCTGGTAAATTATGCGTAGCATGTTTATGAATAAATCTTTTAATAAAATTTGACATATACACTAACATATTCGAAACCATACCTACTACAACAAATCCTGGTACACTGAAGCAGTATACGTACGCATTTTAGCTAAAGTAAATATAAGCCAACTACAATATATCAGCATATTTGCGTAGGTTCCTTTTTAATACTCGTATAAGCATCATCGACGTAGTGTATGTAATCATACCAAAATCCATAAAATACAATGGGCAAGGATACCGATACCGATACTGAAGCGCTGCAATGAACTCACATACGAAATCCTTTTTTGTTACCATTCCACGAGATGTTTTCTTTAAAATTAAATTGCGATGAAAAATATTTTTTAAATTGAGATCGCTAAGCAAAAAAAAAAATAAGAGAAGAAAATATTCAACAAAGCATACAATATGAATCTTCTAAACGAATAAGTTTTCAAATATTTTAAAAATAAACATACTTTGTAAAAAACGTTATGTATGAGTGCATAAAGCAATACTTTCATTCACTTGGGAATTTACCACAGAAAAACGCACAGAAATTTGTTAGGATAAACGGAAATTTGTACGTATTTTTCTTAGAAATTTAACGCATTCGCTCAGTGTCAGACGGTAGCAACAGTCAAATGACAGACTGTCACCTTTTTCCCAGCGTTTATAAGGTTTATTTTTGTACATCAACGTAATCCCAAATTTGAATCATTGTATTTGCATAGACATACTCGTGCATGGAGTATGTACGTTTCCGAACAATACTAAGGTATTTCTATAGAAGGAAGCCTAGTGTATGTTTGACTTGACACACGTAAACTCAGTCCGTTGTACGTAAGATACAGATAAATTTGTGCGCTTATGTGTTTTCTTGACAGCTTCGTAGACGCATGTATATGTACTAAATTGCCATTGGCGTGAAATAAATCTCAGTGATGTTACAAAAACTTTACTTGCTGCTCTGTAAAGCGAGAATGACACTCATACATTGGCTTAGATATATAAATACCAAGACAAATTCAATTGTTAGTGTATGTGAACCGACAGTCGAGAAACAGAAATACTTGCGGTAAAGCAAACAACAAAGCCGTAAGAAATAACACAGTAACAATGCACATCAAATTGTCCCCTGTTGCAGGTTTTGTTAAGGTATATGTCATAGTTGTCTTGTTAGTGGCAAATGTCTCACTACGGGTCTCTACAAGCCAAACTAAGAAGTTTCAGTTGTCTGCTTTAAGCTTATGATTTTTTCAACAGAGTTAAATATATATAGTATGTATTGATATACAAATTTCTTTAACTCCTAGCAGGAGCATAGGGCAGCAAGTATGTATTGATATGCAATTTGTATAATGGTCTCTTAGGAATTTTTGTCAAAATATTTTCATATTTTCTTAACAAATTTTACACACGTTATTCGGAGTTTTAACACAGAAAATGTTTTTTTACAAAATTAATTTACGTTAAAGTACTGAAGGTGTTTAAATTTTGTTTAAATCATTATTTAGAACCTAACATAATACCATGTTACAATTCATATAAAATGACATACTAATATCATCCAATAAAAACTTACTAGTTATAAACTAATTCAAACTTCTCGAGAAATCAAATCAAAATTTATGAGTATTTTTAAAATTAAAAAAAAACAAAATTGGAAATGCCGACATCACTATAACCAATAGTTTTCAATGCTAAACAAATCCAACAATTAAGTAAAGCAAATTATTTTTATGTTTTAATTTCATAATTTTTACATCTTATTTTAATTTCAAATTACACAGCTATAATATTATAATTTCGTAAGTAGAAACATTTTTTTTCTACTTTAAATATGCAATATTCATTAAGAGGTTTTTCGAACAGTTGTGAACTACAACAACAAAAATTCATTTTATATAATCTTTATTAATAGAATTTTTGGCTGACCATACAGCTGTTTCGAGTATTGCCAAATACTCATCATCAGTGGTCTTGGAAATAATTCTTGTATTTAATTATTCGTAAATAGTTTTTTGAGACTGCAAGTACCAGGAATCTAACTCGTACCCTGCCAAATTTGAAGCTCAGAGTCAGCGCTCCTTAACCAATTGACCCAATTAATTTGTTGTGAAAGTTTTATTAACAAATTCACTTGCTGTGTTTGTATAAGAACGAAATTATAAACCAGCTATAGAATAATTGAATTAATTATATTTTTATTTTTAATTATTAAATTTTAT